TATATTTTGCTGCTTGGCTTGGCCTGGCTTGGAGTGCACACTCCTGTCATCCATCCTGGGCTTTGCAACATCCCAACACCTGGTAAAGATATCATCTACCACCCCTGCATTTTCACTCACTCCCCCAAACAGATGCAGCCAATTCTATGCCCTTATTTTGCAAACCAAGCTGGTATCCACTGAGAGCTAGGTCAGAGCTCTTGGGCCCAGGATGTGAACCAGTCACCCTGGATGCTGCAGTAGGAGATCACAGCCCCATTCTGCCACTTACTAATGGAAACAATGGCTTAACTTCTTTGTGCCTTTGTATAGACACCCAAACACTTGCTTACAGGGTGTGACAGTCCTCTCACCTGCAAGGACTAAGTGAGCTAAGGCACCTAGCACAGAGTAAACACTGGAGAAATGTTTGCTGCCAGCCTTCTCTCTAGATATGGACTTTCCTGGCATTGCTTCCTGTAGTATTACTTGTCCTAACTTCAGGCCGCTATTTGCATCTTAATAATTTCTAGCTGCCCTGGTCTCGGTTGGGTGCAAGGCATAAGCTGAAGAAATGTACCTTTTATTGCCAAGTGTTTTGAAGAGTTGTCTCTGTTCTGGGTTACCATTTGAGTTCTATCGGGACATCGGATGCTTCATTTTTGTTTCTTCCATTGGTTTTGACTTTTTCAAAACCAGGTCCCTGGCCCTCTTCATTGAATTGCATTGTACTCCATATGCCGATAGCTCTGTAGGAGGGGCCCCTAGGACAGCATATCAGAGGAGAGAAGGCGAGGTGCTGCATGACACTGGGGTGCCGGGCAATGCCCCTGCCAACCTTTTCCCCCATACATAGAACTGCTGTCCTAGTTTTTGGCAGATGAATTGAACATCAATCACAGAAGAAGAAAGAAAAAAAAAAAAAAACAGGCTTACCACCCACGCCACTGTGCTAAGAATAATTTCCGTCCCAGCAGTACAGCTGGTCCGAACACTAGGCAGTACTTCCATCTGGAGCCAGGTGAGAGGATGCAGGAAGTGTGTTTGTCCATTTCAAGTTTGAACCTGATGTGGGGTCTGAAACTTAGCTGAAAGCCTGGCCCAATGCCCCAGAAACCCAGAGAAAACACCAAACACCAGCTTACCAAAGAATCCATCTCTTGTCAGATGCCCCCATCTTGAGTGCTGCATGAGTCTCATTCAGGCGGTCGTTTCCTATTTGTCTGGAAGTCAGTTTTAAATCTTGAGTTGATAGGGCCAGCTCAGCCCAACAGCTCAGCCAGCAGAGCCCCCTAATGACCTGGCTGTGGTTTGCTGGGCTCAGGTGGAAATCAGCTCTTGGTAGTGGCTGGATAGATGGCTTTGGAGAACCAAGTGTTTGTACTTTAGTCTTCCAAATAATCAGAATCACCCATTCAAGTTCTATTTGGTGCCAGGCATTGGTGCCAGGCATTATGCCTGCTACCTAAGCACCAAGGACTTGAAACACAGTAAGACGGCTTTGCTATCCTCTCAGGGATTACGGTTTGACTCAGTGGTTCTTCACTCACCCGGCTGCACAGTAGAATCACCTAGTGAGTGTCTATGGAAGTACTTTGAAGCCTGATGTGGTGATGTACATCTGTAGTCCTAGCATTCTGGGAGGCCAAGGCAGGAGGATTACAGGTTCAAGCCCAACCTGGGCAATTCAGTGACTTCGCAAGAACCTGTCTCAAAATAAAACATTTATAAAAAAAAATTTATAAAGGGGCTGGGAATGTAGCTCAATGTGAAGGCCTAGGGTTCTGTACCCACTACTGAAAATAAAAGTGATTTAACATATTAGTTTCTTCTTTAATCCTCAATATAATGCTATAATATAGTTACCGCTGTTGTAGCCATCTCAAAGATGAGGAAACTGAGGCACCAGCTGGTTGGGTCACTCACCCAAGGTTACACAGCATTGCCAAAGCAGAACAGGACCTCAGGAATTCTGCCTTGTGACGTGCTGTGCTGACTTCCGATGTGTCCTGCCTCTGTCTGCATGCGAGGAGGGCTGAGAGAGGGTGCCTGGAGCAGAACGGGAAAGAAAGAATAGGAATAGGGAGAGGAAGCTGAGAGGCATCCAGGGCAGGGCAGGAGGGCCTGGGGGACACAGCCTGGAGGACTGGGTTTTCTGCAGGTGATCCAAGTGGCTCTCACCTGTGACAGCAGAGTGAGAGCATTCTTAGGAGGATGCACTTCTAGAAAAAGTGGGTCAGAGTCTGGATGGGAGCGCTGGAGGTGCACACGCCCAGTGATGGCAATGGCTTCTGATAGCAGCTCTGTGCCCAGAGGGAGGAGTATGAGGGCCCTGCCCTCTTCCTGCTGCACTCTTGCTCTGCATGTTAAAGGCATTTCTGGGTTCAGCCCCAGAGCAGCCATTCTGCAGCTCATCCCCCTGTACCTGACCCATTGACCAAGCTGCAGATCCCTCCATCATCACAGAGCCCAGGACCAGGCCCCACGGGTGGCCACGGAAGGCATGGCAATCGTGTTCAGGCTAATCATGTGGTCCAGGGGGAGGCCAGCTCCCCCGAAGCACTGGGGTGAGGCATTATCCGCTTGAGCTGGGTTCCAGTCCTAGCCTTACCACCTCCTATGTGACTGGGAGCGAGGCCCTTGACCTCCATGAAGCTCAGCCTTCCCATCTATAAAGAGGAGAGCACATTTGTTCTAAGAAGTGGGGACACTCTTCACAAGGCTCTTGCCAACTGTGCCTGAGGCCTTCAGTAAGTGGCAGCTGGCATTATGCCTGGTTAATTTAAACCATTATGAGATCCTAGAGTCCCCACTGGCCCAGAGAGCCCAGGTTGAGATCCGTTGAACAACACCCCTATTTTGCAGATGAGAAAACTGAGCTCTGGAGGGGTCTGTGGCTTTCCCAAGCTATCCTGGAATTGAAGCGCAGGAGCCAGAAGCAGGAGATGCTTCCTGTGTGAGGCCTCGTGGCTCCATCTCCACACAGGGGTGAGAAGTTCGACTCCAGCGTGGCCTAGCCACTCACAGCCTTTGCCCTGGTTGCTCCCTCTGGGATGGCAGGGTTGTATGGATGAAAAAGCTGTCATTCTAGAGTGCTGAAAAGTGCCCCACAGGTGCCAGAGCATGACTCTCCATGGATTCCAACACCCCGGTTGGCATTCCTCTGTGCCAGATGCAAGCAAGCTGCCTGCGCACTGTGTGATTATGTGGAGGGGAAGAAGAGGAGGGAGGGAGACGGCACAGGGAAGAATCTCCTTCTGTACCTGCACTCCAGCAGACATGCTTTAGCTACCTGCTCGATGAGGAGGACAGATGCACCCTCTCCCTTCCTGGGTCTTCTGGAACGTTCTTTCCACCACCAGCTGTCCAGTGGCTCACAGCAAATCTATGACACTCTCCCTGAGGAACAATGATTCTCCCGTCCTTTGGCAAACAAGAACTCCATCTGGGAGTCTGGGCCAGTTTGCTGATATCAAATGGCATGCTGTGGAAAAGGCATGGAAACTGGAACCAGGAAAATGAGGATTTGAATCCCAGTTCTGCTTTCTGGCTGTGTGACTTTGGCGTATGACGTACTTAGCTATTGGTGCCTCCATTTCTTAATCTGTAAAGCAAAATGAAATCTTACTTCTGAACTTTGTTTTAAGAAATTAAATAAGATATGAAGTCCTTGGCACATAACTACCTTGGTCCTGTCCCAAAACCCTGCCACCGCTCTCACTGGCTTTCTTTGCCTGAGTTACCCTGGCACCTAGGCTGGCCTTAGTGTGTTGAGTTAGTTATGGAGTTAAAAGAATTAGAAAGACATAAGCATGAAGAGGCAGTCCCTGAAAGCAGAGCCTATTTCCCAGGAAGAAGCATCTCCTTTAGATGATGGCCTTGTGCATCTTGGGGATATTGGATAACAGCAGCCTTGGAGGGGAGCACTAGCATTTGATGCCCCACACCTTGAAAGGATGTATTGGAGAAATGCACAGCTCATAGCTTCACCACGCTCCACCTAGCGAACCAAGTCAGGCAAGAGGCCAGGTGAGGAGTGGGCAGACACTGCCTGGGGCTGCACTTAGGGAGACTGAGCCTCTTCAGTGCCTCTCCTGGCCCAAGGAACTGCAAGGAAAGTATGTACAGAGAGGTTCCCGTCATCTTGCCCTGCCTGGATGCCCCAGGTCTAGGGATGCAGATTGCTCCCCCAGGATGCAGGATGTGCCAGTGAGCCCCTTTCAGAAAGGGAGGGAGCCCCACTGAACTTACAGCCTCCAGTCCTTGGCCTTCACACCCAGTGTCTTAGCAAGGGGAATTTCCAAGCACCCAGACATACCCTGAGTCATGTGGCAACCCTGGAGTAGATGGGAAAGGAACTGGGGCTCGAACACTTATGTGTGCCAAGAAATGTGATGGTTATAATGGTAGTGGTGACAATGTGTCAGTCACCAATCTAGGGCCAAAATATATTCATTCATTTAATCTTTCCAGGAGCCCTATGAGGGAGGTACTGTTCAAATCCTCACTTGACAGATGAGAAATCTGAAGCGTGGAGAGGTAAAGTAACTTGTTCAAGGTCACACTGCTAATAAATGGCAGAGCTCAAACCCGTACAAACTCATGTGGTAAAACTCCAAAGTCCTCCTCCTTTTAGCCACGATGACCTGCTTTCCTGACTCTCGTGTATAGTCTTCCCACCCCGGATCCCAAGGGAGGGTCCTATTAATGACATAGGGGAGGACCTGAGAGTGTTTATTTGGCTGGGCCAAGCTCACACAGGTAATTAAATGTCTATGCACACCTACGGGGCCCTTTCCACTGCACTAAACAGCTCCCAGGTGCGCAACTGTGGCCCCAACATCGTCTTCTACCTTCAGGGCAGAGGGAGAAGCGTGGGGCTGGGGGTCCAGTTCTCTGCTTCTTGCTGCCCAGGCCTCCATCCCAAGTGCATTCACTAGCAGGCAAGAACCAAAGCCTTGTTTCTGCCCGGTCCCTCTCTTTGCCTTTCAGATCTTACCCAAATATCACTTTTCCAGAGAAGCTTCTGCCGCCTCTCCTGCCTAAATGGCTGTAGGTTCTTCATCTGCTAATGTTGCATTGGTCTCACGTAGTTATTATCCTCCTCTGGGTGCTCACATAATTACTGCCTGTTTCCCTGATCATCTGCTCCACAGAAAAGAACTTTGATTCTCCCTAACACCACACTGCCAGAGATTAGCATGTTGCCTGGCACTTGCTAACACTAAAATATCATTTGAATCAATGAATGGATGAGGGAATGGATGTATAGGTCCTGCAAGGCTCCAGCCTCACATTGGCCTTCTGCCTCCGGTATCTCAAAGGTTCACAGTAACGCTGTGAAATAGTAAGCAGTGTTCCCATTTCCCTGATGGAGACACTAAGAATCACAGAAGTGAAGTGATCCTTGCTCAGTCAATAAGAGGTGAGGTCGGGATTCACACCCAGGCCAGCCTGGCTCCAGCCTCAGTGTCGCTCCATTCAGAAAGAATCTGGAAGCAAAGAGCCGTGAAAAGGGGGCTCTGCCAGAGTTCCACCCGGAGGGAGCAGAGAATTAAATGGGATTGGGGAGACCCAGACAGGACTGAAAGTCAAGTATAAAGGATCAAAGGCAAGGAAAGAGCTAAAGTGGTCATGCTAGGGGCTCATCCGGAAGTCAGCCTTCCTGACCAACTAACTGCCTTTGAAAATTGGATCTGCATTCCCAAGCCCCACCCTTCTTGGTTCCCTGTTGGGAAGGGTAAAATCCCAGCAGGCAAGAGATTCTGAATGGGAGTCCATTTGCCCTCCCAGATGGGGAAAGAGCGTCTTTGTGGAAGCCAGGATGCTGATGCTTGCCCAGCCATAGGAAACTTAACTTTGTTGAGTTCATATCTGAGCCCCTTCCAGACTGCCTTGGGGAGAAAATTCTAATAACTTTATCTGTGAATGTCTAAAATTCTCATGCAATGGGGAGCTTCAAGAAATTTTTTGCAAAACAATGTAATAGTGTCTCGCCCCACAGTTTGTAAAACAGTCTGCTTCTAAGCCAAAATGTAAAAGATCATCACTGTATATTTTGTTCTTTTCCACCCGTCAAGTTCTGAGATTTTATTTGACTTGGATTTAGAAAGGAAGTGGAAATCAAGGAAGCTGTTTATGATCTCAAATCTTCACATAGCTTCATACTGTCTCAGGGTGCACAACATTCTCGTGATGGCTCTGCTTTCTTGACAGTTTTAGGCCAGCTGGAGATCAGCCAAGGGGTAGGGTTAACCAGAATTCCACTTTGCACTGCCCTGTGGGGTTCACTTCAGGCATCCCGGGGTTACTCTCCTTGCCATCCATCTCTGTCTGCAGAAAGAAGGTTGTCTGCAGGCTGACTTCACGGGTGAGAGAGCCAGGTTGGAAGACCAATGAGAAAAATTGGATTTCCTAGGCCCATCTGCTGGAAGGTGGTACTGGCACTTGTGCAGGGAATGACTGTGTCAGGAGCTGCTTCCCAGAAGGAAGGGAAAATAGGCAGGATCCCTGGGACAAGGGTTTCTCGCTGTCTTAGGAAGAACCCTGCTTGTCAGTGACTTTGATACACACACAGCCTCCCTTTAGCTAAAACTGCACTGCCACCTTTGACAGTTAACAAAGTTTCCATTCCTTTGAG